AATTACTGTTTTATTCACATGGCTACTGATTCACTTTTTCTACAGAAACAATAAAATGGCCTTTGTCACCCATCATAAAACAGTATTAATCAATATTGATAAAAATCCTCTGGTGGAGGCAGAATGGGAGGGAAGTCATCCATTGCTATTGAAGAGAATGGCTGCCTCGCAATGACGTGCAGGCTAGGATAACAACGCTGGGGACCCAGCAGCCTCACGCTGACTGCTGAGCACCGGCCCAGGGCTGAGAGCAGGCAGATCTGCACAGGAAGGAGCTTAGAAGATGGGAGCAAAGAATATTCTCCCAGACTTGCTAGCCGGTTCATCAGCTGGTGATACATTCTGTTCTCTCTCACATATATATACCACAGCAGGTGGCAGGACCTGGCTTCCATTAAACTCTAATGAAAAATTTCACTCGGAGACCTAATAAGCCTCCACAGTGGTCCTGGGGGGACAGGGTGGGGTCTGCCTGGCCCTGTGGGCCAACAGGAGCACACGGCAGGGCCTGTGTCGGTCTGACAGGTCCAATGCACTGTCAGGAAGCCAGTGGGTGGGAACGAGCTAGTCCGATGACTAATGTGGAACCGGTTCTGACTTTTCCCTGATGTCTACAGACTGACCCATGGCTTCTAGGAGGCCAGAGGATGGGCAGGGCAGTGTCTCCCAGAAACCTTCAAGGAAAAGATCGTCACTGGCTCGGCTGCTTTGGCCTGAGCGAAAACGCCTGCAGCACCAGCACTCCTAGAGGCTGCTGCATCCTCAGCATCCATCTCGATCCCACTGGCCAGTGCGTGGCCCCTGCAGTTGATCCTGAGAGCTGCAGAGCAGCGATGGTGCTCGGCCAGCCTGTGTACGGAAACCAAGCCCGCTGGGTGCCGCATGCTGCCCAGCAGTCTAGGAATGGAAGCCAGGCTCTGCAGACAAGCCTCGTCTTCCACTCCCCGACTCACAGCCTCTAAAAGCAAGCATCCCACCCAGCCAGCCCTGCACCCCGTCCCACACGCATAGCTCCTTGCCTACTCTGAGACACCTTGAGCCTCACCAGCTTTTGTACAAGAGCACAGAGCTCATTTACAGCCATCACTGGGCAGTGGCTGTTGGAATCAGTTTCTAAGAGGCCCTTGAAATGTAGGGCCAGCGTTTTTGGAGGACTGATGGGCTAGCAGAAGAGGAAAATGACAAGGAACTTCATCAACCGTTGTTTGAGCACTTGGTGTATGCCAGGTCCCCTTAACCCCCAGGATGGTGGGGGCTGCTGTGACCTCCATTGTGGAGACTGAAAAAAATATTCTCACATGGATCTTTTGCTCACTCATTCGTTCAGTTGCCCAAGAATTTCAGAAAACCTGAATTTCGGCCAGTAGGGCAGTTGCCCCTGCCCTGAAGGAGCTTAAAGTCTAGTGGGAAAGATAAATAATAAAAAAATAAAAATTGCAACACAGCCCTAACCGGTTTGGCTCAGTGGATAGAGCGTCGGCCTGCGGACTGAAGGGTCCTAGGTTCGATTCCAGTCAAGGGCATGTACCTTGGTTGAGGGCCCATCCCCAGTAGGGGGTGTGCAGGAGGCAGCTGGTCGATGTTTCTCTCTCATTGATGTTTCCAACTCTCTGTCCCTCTCCCTTCCTCTCTGTAAAAAATTAATAAAATATATATTTTTTTAAAAAATTGCAACACAATATACCCATAGCATGCCTTTATAATACAGATCCCAAGAGAACTCATGGAATCTCTTACTCTCCACTGTAATATTCTCTAAAGCAGAGCAGTGCCCAGCACACAGCAAACATCCAGAAAATACTCACTGAATGAATGAATGAGCAAATAAATGAATGAACAGTGCATTTAACCCAATAACAGTGATAACAAATTGCCCAGAGATTCTTGTAGCATTTTCCAGGGCTGAGCATGGTATCAAGCACTTTCCAGGGGTGCTCTCACATCATCGTTGCCACGATGGCCACATCACTCAGTGAAACCCTCATTATCCCCATTCTGCAGATGAGCAAACAGATGTGCAGAGAGTTCTACTCCAGGTCCTGTAGTCAGAAAGCAACAAACCAGGCCTGTCCCCTCAGAAGCTTGTGCTGCCCAAACCAGGAGGCACGCAGTGGCCCAGGCTTGAAGGCCAGGGAATGCTCCCCGAAGGACGGAACGACGTGAAGGACAGAGAAGGAAGAGTCAAAGGAGGAAGGTGTCAACGGCTGCAGAAGCAGACCATGAAGGAGATGAAACTTTTTCCAGGTAAATGCAGTGGGTTTTAGAAACTCTCTTCACAGCTGTGATGCCCTCTGTACTCAGATGTGAGCACTTCTAGCTCAGCAACTCCTCCATTGTTAAAGTGAGTGGGTCCCCTCCCCAGCGGTTTTATCAGAACTCCAAAACCTGCAGCTTGTGGAGCGGGTGGGGAGGTGAGGAGCTGTGAGCAACCCTTAAGCCCTCCTCTCTGACTTCCCTCAAAGAGGTGAAAGTCCTCACTCCAAGGCTCCAGAGAGAGCAACTAAAATATCAATAATAAAAAAATATATTTTACCCATTAATAAAAACTATGATATATGAATTAATTTTGGGAAATAAAAACCTTCCAAAGCTTTGGGATGAAGAGAAAAGAAAAAAAAAAAGAAAAAAAATGAAAAGTAAGAGCATATGAGCGCTGTGTCAGCGCTGTGACCAACATGAACAAGAAGGTGGGCTAGAGAGCTAATGGCGAGCACAGCCTCTGGAAGGCCTTTGAGCCCAGACCTGAGTGATGGGGAAGCCGGACAGGGAAAGTGGGAAACAGCAAGAATAAAGCCGGCAGAGGGACATGAGCCGGGAGTGTTGCAGGGAAGGCCACTGTGGCTGGAGCACAGGGAATGAGAAGCAGGTGGGACAGGATGAGTACGAAAGGACAAAGACAGGTCAAGCTGCTACAGTCTTGCAGGCCATTGGAAAGATCTGGGACACTGCGATGCCACTGGAGGCCTTCACCAGCAAAGTAACATGAACTGGGTCTTGCTTTAAAAGGTTCGCTCTGCATGTCATTAACATGGACACACACGAGTGATACACAGTAGTGAACTGGCCCTCACTTTACCTGGCACAGGACACAAGCGATGGCATCTCATAAAGAGAATTTATCCACACGCCAGCATCCACCAGCTGCGTGGCTTGCACCTTCCACGAGTAAAGACCACTTACTCTAAAACTCAACTTCCCCTCTCCCTTGGTCATTCCCTCCACGGAGAGGTGATGATAAAGGCTTTATGCCCGAGGCTCACAAATCTTACCACTTCTAAACAAGTCCTGAAAAGAGACAGAAGAATTGTGTGGGGGGGAGAAGGGATGCCAGGGAGAAAGCATAAACATATTCCAATTTGAGCAACGACTGAAACCCCAACACAACACCACGAGAGACCAGCAATCCAAGGCTACAATCAAGGGCCGACCATCACTTGGCTGGTCGGATGTGATGACTGACGCAGAAGCCAAGACGTAACACGGGCCAGCTTTCCTGTAACCTGCTAAACGACCTATACAGGAAAACACTATTTCAGCATCAAACGCATCAAAAGGCAACCCACAGGAGGCTATATCTGTAGCCAGATCGCGCCAGAAACCCCGCTAGTCTGACTCTGCTATTCATAAATTCTCCCTCATGTTGGAGCACATGTGTTTGGGAAAGGAAAATGAATCCAAGTCAATTTTAGACATTGTTACTTGGAAGCCATCTGGAGTCCCTGGAAGCGTAAGAAGTCACCGCATGGCCTGCCCTCAGATGCCCACTGTAATTAGGGCAGTGTGCTCACATGGGAATCCAGGGTCCCCTACTCCCCAGGGATGTCCCTACCCACACCTACCAAATGCCAGCTCCGGCTCTACTTCCCACCCAAGGAAGGTATTTGGTTTCTTAGTAAACCTAGTGGAGAGCCCTCAAGGTGTTGAGCTTGCACTTTAATTGCACCCGAGGTTGGGTTCTCTTTTTTCCACGGGGCTTCAAAACAGCACACCTGAATTCCTTTGCCACAGCAGCTTCGAAACCCCTCCCCGGGGGCAGGAGATGGATGAAAAACCCCCTCTACCAAACAGTGCTGTGTTCGGAGCATGCCTAGTTTGGGCAGAGACCCACCAGATACCTTATGTAACGTTAATGTATGTTGGCACCCCGCGGAATGGCTCTTGGGGACACGAGCCCAGCTGTAGCCCATGTCACCGTGATGACAGTAGGCTGGGTCTTGCAGCTTCCTAGGGCCTGGCTCTTTCTGACGGTAGGGCCTCTGTCCCCCTCCGTTACCTGGCTGTGATCCCCTGCGTTGCTCCTCTTCCCCAGGCGCTGGGCCTCCCTTCCTGCAGCCTCTCCCCCTCCACTGAAAACAGTTTTAGGACCAAGCTGACAGCAGCGCCATTCCACCAGCACTCCTCTCCCCCCAGCCCCCACCTCTCCAGCTCCTCTCTCCACCACCCAACGCCTTAACAAACCTAACCAGGAAAAAAAAAATCCAGAATCCTGTACAGTCATAGTCCCAGAAAGCAAACACGGCGGGAGGGAGGGAGGCTCAGCTCTGCTAAGCCGACCAGGCCCAACACTCGCCCTGGACCCCCAAGCAGCCCTGAATTCGGCGCAGGGGAGGAATCTTTGGAGAGCGGCGGCTTTAGGCGGCTCCAGCACGATCGGAGCAAACACCTGTTTCCAGGAAGCGACATGAGCAAAGGGAGAAGGGAGTCCCGGGAAAGGCAGGGAGGACGAGGTGAAGGGGCAGCCGGGGACGCAGGTAAAGGATGCGTCACACTTTGCGCTTGGCAACCGGAGCCTGGAGCAGCAGCGGACAGAGCGTGAGGGGGCTCCGGGATCTGGGAAGTTCAGAGAGGAGGGGTCGCGCCAGCGAGCCACACCTCGGGGGGAAGAGGGGGGTAGTCAGCAGGGAAAGCGGTCAGGAGGCCCGACGGGCTCCATCACCTGGGCGCCCGCGAATGCAGCCCCGCAGGCGCGCACCGGCTGCGGCTGCCAGCGGGTGACCTACCTGCCCACCGTCTGGTTGGCCAGCTGGCGCATGCGATTGAACTGCTTCTTCATCGTGGCCCCGCTGCCGCGCTAGCCCGGGAACTTGGGAAGGACGGAGCCCGCCGCAGGTTACATGGCTCCCGCGCGGAGCCTCCCGGGCAACGGCGGCGGCACTGCGGAGCCTCCGGGAGCCTTTGGCCCGATCGCGGCTCCCTCCCGAGGGCACCACCGCCTACTCCTCCTCCTGCCGTGGCGCCTGCCGCCGCATCCTGCTCACGCGCTCCGCCGTGCCTTCATCGTACCGCCCGGGGTCGGCTGGACCGCCGTCCAGGTCCGCTGGGCTGCCCGCCCCCAGCCCCAGTCCCGCGCGGGGACCCGGGAGTCTCCGCAGGCTAGCTGGCCCGCTGGCTGGGTGGTCCCCGCTGCGCCTGTGCGGAGGGCGCTGAGCATTCTGGGACTTGTAGTTTCTCATCCCAGAGCCCACCTTTGCTCTGACCAAAGTTACCAAGTACAGCGGGTGCGGAGGTGGGAGAGGGCTGTGTCCACAAGGGCTTTGCACTTTAGCATTCTAGGAAGGAAGAGTTTTCCTGCTTTAAAAAATAACAAAATAGAACCAGGAATACAACAGCAAAATAAGAAAGTAAGCATCTGTCTTTCGTTGTATTTTAAGTGAATGTGAGGAATTGCTATTTTGGATTCACATGAAGAAGATTCGTGCTAGAAGGTATATCGCTCATAAAATTGCATCAGGTCACCTGATTAATGTTGAGGTGCAGGGTTAAGCTTGGGGCATTGGGGTTGACAGGAAAATTTTGAACCAGGCATGGCATGCATCCTAGAAGCTTAATGCTTAATTTTCACCAAACGCAGAAGGTGACCAGAAGCCAATATAGAGGATATAATGATTGTGGCATTGCATCTGTGGACCAAATTAGGCTGGGACAACTTGCATGAATGGCTTAGATTCCAGTTTCATAGATAAGCACATCTCCCTTCCACCCCAGGAGACCAAGGGGTGCCAGCTGTGGCAGGCCTGGAGCGACCTACACAGCAGCCCATTGGTATCAGTTGGCTCTTTGAAAAGGGGCTGTAACTTTCTGCAGGCTCTGTCCACAGGACAATACAGGTGGCTGCAGCTTCATTTTATCATTATCTATCAAGTAAGAGCAGTATTGTTGGGTGATAGGGGCTTTGGATCAACAAATTGGAGTTCACATATTAGAATTCCAACTACCAATTATATAACCTTTAAAAATTGTATAAGCCCTAACCGGTTTGGCTCAGTGGATAGAGTGTTGGCCTGCGGACTGAAGGGTCCCGGGTTCGATTCCAGTCAAGGGCATGTGCCTTGGTTGTGGGCACATCCCCAGTGGGGGGTGTGCAGGAGGCAGCTGATCGATGTTTCTCTCTCATCGATGTTTCTAACTCTCTATCCCTCTCCCTTCCTCTCTGTAAAAAAATCAATAAAGTATATATTTTTTTAAAAAATTGTATAAGCTTTCTATTCCTCCATTTTCTCATCTCTGATAGAGAAATAATACTTCTGAATAGATGGAAAAGTTAGATAACTATGTTAAATTACCAATGAAATTAACATAATTTCTATATAATACATTATGTCATATTTATTTACTAAAATTATGATTATAGTTGGCATAATAGAGAGAGTACTATTCCTGCAACAGAGGTACTAATCTGATAAATGAATGAATGTTTTTGAAATGGGATATTTTGCATATGTTGATTATAGTCACAAGATGTCCTAAATATGGTTGTAAGTCTCCTGCTGGCCAGCTGGACAAAAGATGGTTTGAGGCATGTCTTGGATGAATGAACATGAAATCTTTAATTAATTGTGAATTTAGCCTCTGCTTATTGGGTCAGGCAGCTCTAGCCAATTAATAAGTAAAGCGTTATTTTCTTTTAACCAATTATAACAGCAATTTAATTTTTATACAAACTCAAATTATTTCCATTTGAGATTTTTTTTTTAAAGTAAGGCATAGCTTTGGTTTTTACATGTATAAATAATAGTATGACATGAAGAACACTGTGTTACTTTTAGCAACAATATCTCCCGTAACATCTAGAACTGCACTGTCCAAAATAGTAGCCAGCAACCACATGTGGCTATTGGTAATTAAATTAATTAAAATTAAGTAAAACTTAACATTTAGTTCCTCAGTCACCGTAGCCACATTGTAAGTGCTTAATAGTCACATGTGGTTCAAGGCTGCTGTACTGGAGGGCACTAGCCCTAGAGGACTCTGCAGACAACTCCAGTATCATGCCAGCCTCTGCCTTCAATCCCAAGGTATTTCCATTCAAACAA